CCGGCCAGGGGCTCTGCCCCTTGGACCCCGCCAGGGGCTGCCGCCCCTTGGACCCCGCTATACCGGGGGCTGCCGCCCCCGGACCCCCGCTATTAGTTGGTAATATCGTTGAATGATTATGCACTTCGCACCGGCCTCCTAATAACTTGCTTGCCAAATTCAATTTTGTCACACAAATTAAAATAGTCGAATGATTACACTAAAATCATCAACTAACATTATATTCCTACCTTTTATGATCTATATCAATATAAATTCTATGCATATAAATCAAATTTATATTTTCTAGTTTCAATACTCCATTGTATATATATATAATATATATATATATATATATATATATATGTTTTTTAATTATAATATACTTTTTTTGTAATTAAATTTCCGTATGTCAATTTAATACCTCTTGGGGTTAATTATTTTAATTATTAATATTTACATATTAAAAACATAAGAGTATGAAAAATATAAAGTACAAAAAAGCTTTAAATTATCGTAGTAACGTAACATATTTATTGCAACTGCTTTGTCCGTTGCAAACCTTAAATAAGCTGTAGCAAACATTCTGCAACAGAAATACTGTTGTAGATCTCTGTTGCAGATCTTTCCCGTAAAAAGGCGCCAACCTCCCGCCAAAATTGCAATGGATACAATCAAATTCTGTTGCAAAAAAACCGTTGCACAAAACTTCCGTTGCAAACAACTCCGTTGCGCAATAATTCCGTTGCAATTAAAAAAGCCGTCGCAATTCTACAACAGAAAAAAGGTTGTTGCAATGTATCCGTTGCAATATTGATATTTTCTTGTAGTGATGCCATGCCTAATTCTTACTAGTTCTCGGAACTATTTTTATGAAGTTGAAGATGATCATGCCTTTTTCATGAAAATCTGGCAAAGATTTAAGTTTGGTGGTTCAACACAATTTGCATATTTCCAACAATGAGGTTGAATAGAAGAAACTTTCGGTCCTAACCCAAGATAAAGACGAATGTTGGATGAGGGGAACTCTAAACAAAAGTATTACATCCTTAGTCCCAGTGTATTCATCTTGTTTGACTTTTTTGAATCAAATTGAAAGAACTTTAATCATCAATTATTTTTAATGTGTATTACATATTTAAAAAATTACTATTGTGGGCATTTGTATCCCCACTCCAAGTCATTTGGATTTTTAGTTTTTAATATAGATGAATACTACATATATATGGATAATATAAAAACTTTGGGCCCTTTTAAATATTGGGCCCGGTTCGGTTGGCCTGCTCGGCCCACCCTTGGGCCGGCTACCCAACATGATCCATTCTGGTCTGGTTGGCCTGCTCGGCCCACCCTTGAACCCACTCCAGGTCATTTGGATTTTTAGTTTTTAATATAGAAGAATACTACATATATATGGATAATATAAATAAGTTGGGCCCCTTTAAATATTGGGCCCGGTCCGGTTGGTCTGCTCGGCCCACCTTTGGATCGGCTTCCTGCTAACCAACATGATCCATTCAGCCTCTTGAGTAATCGAGGTACACGAGCTCTCAACGAAAGCACTGATTTTATGAATCATAAATTCCACAAAAATAATCGAGCACGAGAATTAGAAGAATGAAGAATGAAAATTAAAAAATTACTATTAAGATCCTTTAGCCAGGAGATCTATCCACCACTGCTCTCTCTTTTTAAAAAAATTTACAATCACTATTGCATGCTTAAATTCTATCTTTATTTACTTTATTCATTATGGGCATTTGTATCCCTTTTCTCTTTGAATTGAAATGGAGAAAGTTTAAAGAAAAAAATTGTATTTAATTTTAAATTTCATTCAAATCTAGCAAACTCCTAAAACCCCGGCAGAGTTTAACGGCCCCAACTTCCCTCGACAACCAACAATGTGGCAACGGACCTTACATTAGTTACATCCCTCCCCC